GGTAGATCACTAATATATATTGAAAAAAACAAAGGATGGAGAACCGACCTTCGGGGCACTCCTGAGGCAACAGGGGACATTGTGGAATTGTAGCCGTTTGTGGTTGTGTATTGTGAGTGATTAGAATCAGAATTAGAATGAATTGCTTTGTTTTGAATTTCTATAAAATGCCTCTGCTTATTTTATTCTTGCCATTTTGGTAGTTACTTATAGCCGGTTCTTTCTACATCCATCCAGTAAGTTCTCTCGACTTGTTTTACTTTTTGCTTAATGTTCTTTGTTGTCACATCACTTAGGCTGTCAGACGTACACTTGTGGAGGACTCTCCTAGTTCTTCTTCTCCACTGTGAGTTAACGTTCTTATACAAATACAGTTCAACCCACTTATAACGATCTTAGATATAAGGATCTATCAGTTATAACAACCATATTTTAATGCAATGACGATTTTCCTCTGCTATCCTTTGAAACTGAGTCCACATAGAGCGAAGATTTTTGAAAGCCTCCTACTTTTAACGAAAACTTCTGACATGTTTGCGGTAAAAATATGATCATACGAAGCAAAAAAAATGTTAATAACAGGCATTCTAAAACATGTGATAGCCGTGCGCTCGCTTGTGCCCTGCTGCAGTTTACTTGCGACAAAAATATCACAAATTTCGGCGAGCACTACACACAAATATCAGACGTTGCGAGCGAGGTCACTCACTGCGCAGAGGTTTCTTCACAGGCCGAATGGAAGTGAGGATAAAAAAAAACAGAAGTATCAAGAGGCAGCGTGAAGTCTTACGGCCAGCACTCGCGTGGCAAGCTTTTCTGACATCGTTGTCGGCATTTATGACCGGCGGTAATTAACCAACAATGCCTTCGAACGCAAGAAGCCATAAATGCGAGAAGCAATAACTTTTATCGCATAAATTTTCACTGCGACACTCACCTCTCCAACATCACACTGTGCTGCAATAAGTTTTCCATCTTTCAGTGACGGCAGAGACCGGTTGATTAGTGATAACGACTTGCGCATGGTTCTGGCAGTGCCCGAATGAATAAGCACCAGAAAAGAGCGGTGGGGAGGCTGCCAGTGCCGATGAACGTGCCATTTTGACTCATTGCCGGCAACTTTATCACAGTCATCTGCAGATAGCTGCTTGGTAGAGCCACTGACAGCGGTACAAGTGTGTGATGCTGTCTTTCGAAAGTACGTCGCCTCTGTGACGTGTGCAGCTGCTTGCCCGCGTGGTTCACAAAATTCTTCATTGTGCTAAATGAATGGGCTACTCGCTGCACCCGAGCATGATCCTGAATGAAGCATGTGCGAAGAATGCACAAATGCACATATTTATTCGACTGAAAGTGAACTGGCACACGACAGTGACAGCCAAGCAAGCGACGTGCCGCATGCAACTAGCCAAGAATTATTAGTTTGACGTAGCGGTACCGCGCTTCAAAGGAGCAGCGTGAGTTCATTGGAAAGGTGGGTGTATTCACTCGTGAGCAAACAGGCGTCTGTAACACGCGAAATGGCTTAACTTGTCAGCGGAGAGGTCGTTCTCAATATTCAATAAGAATACACAGGGAAAAAAACTGGTTTAGTCACTAAGTAGACGTTATCATGAGTGGGTTCATATAGAACGAACTACTAATACTGCATAACAACCATTTGTTGTGGCACTTTGGAGTTCGTTACTAATGGGTTAGACCGTATCAGAACACCTTCAATGCCCATCTGTCTTTCATAGCACTTTGCAGCCCCGCTGCGGTGGTCTAGTGGCTAAGGTACTTGGCTGCTGACCCGCAGGTTGCGGGATCGAATTCCGGCTGTGGCGACTGCATTTCCGGTGAAAACAGAAATGCTGTAGGCCCGTGTGCTCAGATTTGGGTGCATGTTAAAGAACTCCTGGTAGTCAAAATTTCCGGAGCCCTCCACTACAGCATCTCTCATAATAATATGGTGGTTTTGGGACTTTAAACCCCACATATCATATCATCATAGCGTCATACCTTGTTTTGCTCTGACCTTCCCTGTCATGAGCGACAGCTGCGAGATTGAAAGAGGACAAAGACGAGCGTTCGAAGTGGCACAGGTGGGTGTTTGGAATGTTCGAGAGAACTCGAGGCACAAGAACTGAGTCGAAAAGAAGGACGAGGAGGTGGTGAGCTGGCATTGTATCTGGGAACTCGGTGGCGGAAGGTCGCACATCTGCATTCACCGGTGATGGAAGTGACGGCCGTTTGGATCAGCTGACTGAGACGCGGGCGTCGAGGTGGCCAGCAAAATTGATGACAGTCGAAAGGAAGCTTCTCGGAGACACAGCTGCCGCACCCAGAAAGGACGAGTGTTTCCTGTGCAAGCCCCCTTTCAGAAGTGAGCCACCTAAGGTGATCTCCGGAGTGTCACGTCTATCATGGAACGCCACGCCGGGTGAAGCTGTCGACAGTACCAGTAGCCCAAAAGGGACCTACTCAGGTGGCAGAGCTACTGCCAATTGAAGCACTGGTCTTATTACTTGAAGTACGAGTGCATAACTAAAGCGGGGACCTAAGCAGACTAGAACGAGCACATTTGTTCTTGGCTGTGCAAGTCCGTGTTTTTGTGATACACTCCTATTTCCAGGTACTTCGAAAGCAATAGGCCATTTTCACTGGTCTTGTTTTTGACCTCTCGAACCAAGACGAATTTTTTCCTGCTTCTAAAGTTTCACTTCTAGAGAAGTGCAAATGGGTTTGTAGCTTTGTGATGCGAACAGGCAGGTGTTAATTTTCACTTTCTTGACCCTGTGGAATTTCAAAGAACAGATTTGGCATTTTCCGGCATACTGTATTTTCTTGTGTGTCATCCAACCCTCACCTCCAAGTACAAACTGCAGAAAAGTAAAATGTGAGAAATAAACTATTCTCTCACGTTTCCATGAACCTCACTTCCTTAAATTACTGCCTAGCAGTACTTTGCTAGTTCAAAAGAGCGGTAACCAAACCATAGCTTGAGGAGGTTGCAGCGAGGCAGCCAGTCTGTGCTGAACCCAAAAAGTAACTGTTCTTTATTTAACTTGATGCAAACCTTTGACAGCTAGTTGGGGCACTAATAACCAACATATTAGATACTAGTAGCTACCTATACACCATGAAGCCAACTTGTGAACCTAAATTTCCATAAAACTTGCACCTTAACATCAACTCCAACTTTTATGTATATTTTGTGTGGTTTATGCTTGTGAGAGTATAGTGTCATGACCCCGAATTTCGGGTAGAACAGACATCACACGTGATTGATTTTTGTAGCTGGATTATGGCATTTTGTTGTAACAGGCATTGGCTATATTTTAAAACTCTATATCCTTTAAAAAAGATTATTGTAAAGCAGTCATAATGGCAAGTGCGTCTGAGGCAGCTGTTTGGTATTTTTGATTTCCTGTAGTGTTCAGGGATTGTGGTAAGAATCCAGGAGCAAAGTCAAAGTTGGTGTACAGGTAGGACAGCATTAGCATTTGTTACATTGAGCGGGCCCTCTGATGCTATTCAACACCTCATTTTTACTGGTGAGTCATGTAGACTGAAGTATGGACAGGTTAGTGCAGCTATATCAGATGCTGTCTAAAGTTATTTGGTTTGAAAAATTGGAAAGAAAAAAAAATGCTCATGCTAAATTAAATTTTTCGAAGGTCGCATGACCACATTTCAATCAGAAAAGCACCAAGTAGGGTTGGTTGGTTGACGTCATTCACTCTGCAATGAGTTTACTGTGTTCATGCTAGGACAAGATGTAAAGCAGCTGTACACTTCCCTGTTGTCCTTGTGTTAGCACAGTTAAATGATTACGACATGCACATTTCAATTGCCCTGTGATATTTTCGAGTGCCCCAATAGAATAAGTTGGAAGCTCCTATGTAGGGAAAGCTTGCTTCTTGTAGTTGCTAGTCCTTTCCTGTATATCGTTGACATCGTTGCCGTAGCGACAAAAGTAGTGCCTGACGCTTGACTTGTCAAAAGCGTGGCGGTTTGGGCTAGTTGGTATGACCTGAGGATTGTTATGGCACGAGATCAGAATGATGACAAAAAGAAAACGAGGGCTTGTCTTCTTCATGTACTTTTCTCATTACAATCCCATTTCATGTATTTCTCTCCTCTCATCCTGAGAAGGGAACTTGTGGAGCAGCAAGGGTAGTGAAGCACGATTACCCATAATTCTTGTTGTTCGATGAGCCAACTGACCATGCCAAATGGAAATGCAAAGGCACAGCAGCATTAATTCAACAAAGATAATTACTTGCACCACTTCAACAGCAATCAAGAGCACGTGCAGAAAGAGGCTGCTCGCACACATACATATATAGAGTATTATAGCAAACGTGCATGAAGACATCTTATAAAGAGGGAAAAATGTCGTGTTCGTTACATCTCGAAGATGGCACTCGCGCTATGGGTTTTTGTGAATAGGATAAACTGGAGCTTACAAGTCTCTGCAGGGGATTCGACTGGCTGCAGTTATCAGGTGTACATTCTTGCTCACTAGAGATACAAAACTTTCATGTGGACATCGGACCAATACAAGCAAAAAATTTATTCGGAAGCAAACTAGCAGCCAGGTATCCGTCGTGCTTTGCATTTCAAGTGTTCTTTTTCATTGCTACAGCGTCTATTTGGGGTTCAGTCAAAAAGCACAGAAGAAAAAAAAAACACATTAATAGCTGTTTCAATCCCACATCACGATCACTTACAATGTTACATTTACCCAATCGCAGGCTTGCTAGATGAGTCATCATTGGTACCTTCAGAAGTACCAGTGAAGCGCTACTAAGCGCCGATGCAGTTGGTAGGGATGTAGTGACTTTATTGAGTGAATAAATGACTAAATCTCTCGATGATATCAGTGCTTAAACCTATGCTAAAATTATTCCCTGTCTACTGAAATCACGAATAAAAATATGGGTACTTCAGAAGTTTTGGAGGGCCCAATGAACTTTTTCCAGTGCATGTTGTCTTACAATGGGATCACATTTCAGACCAGGCTCTGCTGAGGGGCACCCTGGGTGGGAGCAATGCAACCGTCATGTCGCTCGACATGGACACTGGGGTGAGTGTGCGGCCTTGTTTAATCCTGTACTATGGTTGTTCAGCTTAGTGTAGCAGAACAAATGATGTGGTTAGGACGCCAGGCCAGAGACCATACCTTATTGCTCTGTCAACAGCAGCGTGTACATGAAAGGTCAGCTGTGCCAAGGAAACACAAGGCACTGCTGATTGCATCATTCACCCCGAAGCTGGAGTGTAAGCACCACCCCCCTTTTTTCCCATAACAACAGTGCTAAAGGTGACGTAGGAAGGGTTGTAGAGTTTCCTAAAATTAATTACAGGCGACTCTGGCACTACAATTGTTCAGGCACCATGGGAAGGAAGGGTAGAGCATGGAATTGTCTAGTCTTCGTATTTGTGTGCTTCTAATGCACTTGTGGCTTTGTTGATTGCTGTTTATTGCTTTTTTTAAAATAAAGCAATGCATTGTTATGCACTTTGTGAGCCGATTTGATTAGGTGAGCCTGAAAAGGTCAAAGTAGTGAAGCGTAATTGCTGAACCTTCACTGAGCTTTATCTTGCGTCAAAGTGAATTTGGGCCCCACGAAGCCCATTGGAGCTGACAACAAAGATTAGACAAACCCATGTACTACAAATAATTCCTGTGCTGGCTGAAGTGGTATGCGTTATAGCTGCCATAGACACTAGTGCCAGGGCTCTTTTTAGTGTACATATAGGGAATTCAATAGAATGGGTACTGAAATTTAAAAAACAAACAAAAAGAAGACAAGGCAGTTTCGCACTAGTGGTGTAAGTGCAGAACTGGGCACCCTTATTTCCTCTGCCTTAGTCTGTGTCCTTCTTGTCTCTGTTCAGTCCCATTTTTTTCTCTTTCATGTCTCTCTATTTCCTGCTTTATCTTTATTTTTTTCTCTTTCTTTCTTTGAATCCTTCCTTATCAATGTCATGCTTTACTCTGCCCTCTCACCTTCGATTTCCTCCCCACCTTCTTGCTACACTGTGCGATGCTTTGCGAGTGTGCATGGATAGCAGAGTGGTCATGACGCTCACCTCCAGATTGCAAGTACTACATGGATTCAAGTCGCACCTTGTCAAAACATTTTTTTTTTTTTGCCATACAATTTCTTCCCCTTCCTTTCTTTCTTTCTATCTATCTATCTCTATCTTTTTTCCCCCACTCTCTTTACTTGTTCTCTTGCCGATCAGAGTTATTGCATCCCATGTTATACCAATTCGTGATGTGTGTTGTGGGACAAAAACTATCGTTATTATCGCAACTAAACAGAACACACAGGAAGGAACAGGCAAGCACAGGTGCACACATATAGCAACTGATTTTATTGATGGCAGATCCACACCTTTATACATCATCAAGCGGTGCAGGTGCACCGTCACAACAACCAAGGAGAAATAATACAAACAAGGCACAAAAGGAATATAACTACCACACTGTACAGCACAGTGGAAATGTCGCCTATGCACTCTGACCAGTTTTCTTAATGAAAAAATTATTCTAACATTTCGTGAGCCATATTATGTCTACTTCTGCCTAGGATTTTTGCAAATCGGAATAGCGGTTCACAATGCAAGCACACCATGCAGTTTCGAAAACCATGAGAGCTTGGTTTCTGGCAATTATGGTGTCCAGATCTGTATGAAATTTTGACCTAATATTTCTTATTAAGTGAAAAGTACAATTATGTTCTTTAGAATTTGACATCACTTTCACAATTGTTGTGAACTTAAAATAAGCAATTAGTATGGGCTGAGCATCTTAAGACTTCTCATATTACAATTTTTATTGTTCATTAAAATATCTTATAGAAACTCTCTTTATGGTTACAAGCATTTTACAATTATTGTGGAGCAATATGAGGCTTTAATGGCTTACAGTAAATAAAGTTGAGTGGTAGAAAAAGTGTGTCCAAAATGAGCTATTCTACTTAATACATTGTCAAAACCAAACATTGTAACTTACTACAAAACTAAATACATATTTGAAAAGCTACGTACACAGCAAGAATTTTATTGCCCAAGGCTACAGATTGAAGAAACTGTTTTTTTTTTTTTTTTTAAATTTCCTGTTGACGTCCCAAGGGTATTTTTCTTTCAGGGGAGCCCTCGTCTCAGATGCTCTGTGACCACAGTTAGCCTTCATGAGTGGGCTTGTCTTGTTATAGACATATATTGCCCTGACGAGCTCACGGTCTCCTTGGCAACAGGGAAAACTCTGCCTGAAACTGGGCTCGTTTCCAACTAAAGGGATGCAATGGATCAGCGATGCGTAGCTGGCTTATTTTCACTACAAGCAATGTACACCGCCATGCAGACCACTTGTGTAGTACAATAAGTAGTCTTCTTGAAGCGTCTGACTGTACTCGTGCGTCAGCCATAACCACCCCTGGTGCCTGCACACTCAATCTTACATTGAACTTTTCTATGTAAAGACCAGAGAAGATCTGAACTTGTGTGTGTTGTTATCTATTCTGTACTGGCTAATTTTTCTTCCTGTTTGATACTTTATTTTATTATGAATGAATATCTGGCTGGGGTGTGTGCGCCAAAGGGTACAGCTGTGTAAATTTAGGGCTCGTTTTTTTTTAAGGGCTACTGGCGGTGCTGACTGATGCCCCCATGTTTAAATGCACGTAGTAGGTATATACCCTATAAAGTGGATGGAGGGATGACCAGTGTCGTAGCTCAGTTGGCAAAGCATCGGGCGCATTATTTGAAGGCTGCAGGTTCTGTCCCTGCTAGCAGCAACTTATCTTTTTGTCCGCTTTTGTTTCTTCACATTGACACCACAATTACTTTTAATAACATTCCATTTACTTTCCCTGGGATACCGTTAGTTCTTATTAAAGAATATAGTTTGTGGCACTTTTTGTGTGTGATTATAGTGTGGATGAAACATTTGGATGCTGCCTTCCAGGAAAACCTGATCCTGGCAGCCTCAAATGACTTCTCTAGCAGGGTGTGGACGCTTAGCGACCAGCGGCTGAGGGTGAGTTTCACAAAGGAAACCTTGTGGAGCCAGTGCCAAAAGAGTGATTGATTTGGGTTCTAAACAATCAAGAATTATTAAGTAGGCATTTAAAGGGTATTCAGGAAAGGGAACTTTTTTTGCCGCCACAGGGTAGCCAGCCGGTCGGAGAACTGGCTAACTTCCCTGTCCTTCCTTCCTCCTCTTTTGCCGCCACATGCGATGGTTGCTTGAGAACGGCTGCAATAATCTTTTTCAGAAAAAAACAATTCATTTTGAAGAAAAACAATGCAGTGTCTTTGCTTAAAAAGGCGGACAAATAAACATGCATTCTTTATAAGCTGTTTTGTTTGTCTACAAGGTGGACTCATATCTGTGAGCTTGCATTCAAGCCCTCAGAATAAATAATGCTTGTGCAAAAACATAGTTTTGTACCTGGCCACCTGGTCATACAGCCTACACGTCTACATTTGCAGCACTAATGGCAACCAAGACACCAGAATGTTGAACGTAAGTACAGTTCTGCGTAGCTCGGCATTGGAACAACGTCAAGGACGTCCGACATGCAATTCTAGTCTTATTGGACGTGTGTGTCCCCATTAAGTGTCTGTTGCTGCTATATTTTGGGATATTAAATAGGTTTGTCGGCCTTGACAACACCATAAGTTTTAGCGGTGATCTGCAAATAAGCTTTATGGACCTGATCAGACTTGGCGGGCCTTTGCTTGGTGACGCTTGGTGAACTTTTGCTGGAAAGTTGCTCATCACTTGGCAATGACTGCAAACTTTATTGCGTGCAAACTGCTCCAGATCATTCGTGTCCAAAAGTGTGATCCCTTCAACACTGGATCTTGAGGTTGTCTGAATCAAGCTTGCGAGAGAGCACACTAGACCTAAGGAGCTATGGCTGCTTTACTTGTAGCAGCTGCAAGCAATAGTAGCTGGACTTTTGTGCCAAGCCGACAAAACTTCTTGCAGGGGCTCCATTTGGGAAAGGGAGGATCAACAAAAGTAAGGACGCATATGCAACGCCCACATAGTAGTTCGCTTTGCCAAGTTTTTAACATCACCTGCTGATTTTCACATCATGGCTCCCGTGCATCGTAGTTACCACAGTTAGCTTTGCCGCCAGGTAGGAGATCGCACTGTGGTTGCATGGTTGTGCCAGCGGTGCAGCCTGGCAGGAATGAATTTGCATGAGGCACGAAAAAAAGGTCTTTCGCTCTTTAATACAGCTGTGGACGGACCTCTGTTGCAGAAGCTTCATGGGAATGATATTGTGGCTCATTTTCACGTCCCCCAGAAAGTGACAACACATTTGTTGTAAGTTTTGTGCAGTGTGTTCTCTGTGTCCTGTATTGGCATTGTATTTGGTTATTTAGAATGTTGCTAGTTATTTATAAAATTTTGCAGGCAAGCTCAGCATTATGTAGGGGTATTTAATACCTGTTCATTTGTTTGTTTGCTGGACAGTGTGTTTGTTCAGAGAGCTGCCCTGTCAGATCTCAGACTGGCTGCCCAAAGTGGAGTTCTTGAAGCATCGAAGGAAAGCTTTAGTGAAGTTTAGAGCAATTTTTGTTGGAGCTGTGCCATAGTTGGCCTAGGGGAATTTCTATCGCTGTTGTCAGTGGCGTGCTTTTTTTGTGAGAGAGGAAGTTAGTTGCTGTGGCTGTCAGCATGCAAAGAGTTCTTTGTTTGCAGATCGGTTGCTTTCTCTAGATATTGGGCTTAACTGATGGAATTGTCGTGGCTTTCTGCAGCACACGCTGACTGGCCACAGTCGTAAAGTCCTGGCGGCCAAGTTTCTGGGCGACACGGGGCGAGTTGCCTCAGGAAGCCACGATCGTACCCTCAAGATCTGGGATCTTCGCAGTCGAGCCTGTGAGTTCTGTCATCCTCCCATGGCCAGTGTTGGAGGCATTGTGTGAAGCATTGTTATTGTAGTCTCATTTTCACACAAGCCGTATTTTGTTTCTTGACATTCATAACATTGCACTCATCATGTTATCATGCAGCTAAGGTATAGGGGCCACGCACGTGGATGTAGTGGGTCCTGAAATGCTTACTAACACTTCAGAATCTTTCAAGTTTCAAAACATTTATTTTCTTCAATCGCACTTGCTGCTTTGTGTATAGTTTTGTTTAGCTTTTTTTTTTTATGAAAGATGATTCATTGTGGACTTCCTGAGCTGGGGTGAGCTAAGGCCCACATTCTAAAACGCTTCCTATCTCGGACCGTTTCCTCCCCTGATGTGAGCAGCCCCTGGAGCCTGATTATCTTGAACAGCTTCTGCATCAGTTGCGAAAGCAGCCCGTATGGCATGTGAAGGATGCACAAGGAGCCATCGTTAGCCTAATTCAAACAGGAGCTGTCATTCCTAGAAAGCACTAATTGTGGGTGACAAGGGGGTTGCTCTGTCTTTCTCTGAGTCCACATGGCATTCTTTGCGTCGCTTATTATTCCTATGGAATGCCTGTAGAAAGCAATACTTGTGAAAATGAGATCATGAAGAAAAGAAAAGCATAGGAAGAGCTGGTGTACTTTAATTAAGAGACGGGACGTGCAAACACGGACGCAAGAGAAGAGTCGAGACACCACAAATGCCGAACCGCAACACCGGAAAAGACAGAAGGCACAAAAACCAGACAGTAGGCGAACGTATCAGTCCATCAGGCATATGTGAGAATCACTGTAAAAGCACTTGATTTCGTCTTTATGCAGGTTATTCAAAAGTTGGTTCATGCATTTGCTACCGCTCTTGCTGATATGCAGGCCCGTTTCTTCATTCCTGTAACAGCAGTGGCTGATTAGTATTTTGCCATGCACGAACACTTTGAACAATGTAAAAATAGATTATCGCAGATTAACACAGCGGCCCATCTGTTTTACGTAGAAGTGGTTGCAGCTGAAAGGAGACCACACCTGTACAGCAATCAGTGAACTTGTTAGTGTGTTTCACAAAACAAACCTCCGTCCACTTGTGGTATTCTACCTGCTCATTCTTTCTTTGCACAGCGGCACATACCTTATTTAGCAGCCATGAAAACGTGGTAAACGCTGTATATACACCCCCACCCTCCTTCTTTGATATACACAATAAATGTAAGGAGTTGCTTTCTGCAGCCATACTTGTACTTAACAAAACCGAAGCGACTGTGGCCGTTGTCTCACGAGAATAACCTGCCCCTGAAAGATGGGTGACTGGCGCGTTGAAACTGGCATTAATTTCAAAATGGGCTAGTTGATTGGGCTAGTTTTGTTGGGCTAGTTAGCTTTAAGCTTTCCCGTTTGTGCACTCTTGCTAGTGAGAAAACAGAAAAAGAGCATGTGGAAAGAAGCATAAAAGAGGCTTTTGTCACCTGTGCTTCAGAATTAGTATATAATATACCACTCAGTAGTGGTGAAGTTTACTTTAAAGCTTATCCTTAAAAATGTGGTAATGCTTATCCCCAAAGAATAAAATACATGCACACTTACCTGCGCACTGTATATAGCCTCTGGATGTGAGCCTCGGCTTCGGGAGTTCAAGATAATACAGTCGAACCCCGCCACAACAAACGCCGCTTCAAAAAAATTTCTGCTACATCGAAAAATTCGCGGTTCTTCGTCAGCAGTCTATAGGAGTCAACGCATACTTATTGTCACCACAACAAACACTTTTTCTTCTGCCGTACCGCTTCAATCAAATTTCCCGGTGCAATTTCAGGCTCAGATATTTTTTGCTATACAGGAAACCAAATATTTAACATTTTGATGCATTTTCAGAACCTGAAGATATGTCAACAAAGCCTAAAACACGCGTTGCCACCATCAGAAACCGCGGCTGTTCAGCAAGCATGGACGCTGCCATTGCTCAATAGTGATGGCAACGAGACTGCCCTGCTTTTGCCACTGGCTTGCCTTCAAGCCGTAGCTTGCTTTCGAGTCGCAGACGATTGGAAGCTGAAGCTCAGTCGCTCAGTTCATGGTTTTCTTCATGCAGCTGCCGCCATAGAGTTGATATACTGATTCTAGAGAAAAAGCTCAGCTGGGAAAGCTATAACCACGAAAGTGCTGACATCTTGGAACGTTGTCAATATTGCCATCACAGTACTTTAAAGAAGCGCTAAACTTAAATGCTTAAAATACTCAAAATTTTGATATACAAATCTTAAAAAAGCTTGTTCTTGTAATTTAAATGAGTAAAAATTGTATAAAATTTATATAAACTACTTTCAGGAAAGATACAAGGGCCATTTAATTAATTTACTGAGTGCGGAAAGGAGTGTTTGCAGGTTTCTTCAGTGGATGGCGCCATCATTTTTGTAAAGTTAAGAGCGTGGGGATCTGTATTTTTTGTTGCCATGAGCCAAAAACTCGACTTCATGTGACAGTATTTTACTGTGATGTAACAGAGATCCACGAAAGAGAGAAAATGCCGGGTGTAATTGCAGCATGCAGTGGCGACTGCGAGTGAACGTCACCCGAAATCCGAGTATTGTTCCATCATGGCAGCACCCGAGCGGTTATGGGTTTTAACACATGGGCCCTATGGGGAGCTTTTCCTCTAGAGTCTGTATATTAACTCCATGGCTGCTGCAATTGCTGGGTGCAACCGCCGAGCAATGCCTTTTCAGATTCCATTTTATCCCCGCTTGGCCAGTGTGGTACCTAATCAGAGCAGCTCTTCGTCCGCATTATCAACCAAATCAGCTAGCCGCGAGTGATGGATGATAAGAATGGCATAAAATAAGGCAAAAGTCACCGCTCCACGACACCCATCCTCCATCTCGGCTTTGTTGGATACACTTTGATGGCGGACAGCTGCTGGTGATAACATGTTAATGACATTTTTGGTACGTGCACGAAAGCAGTTGTAGGCGTTGTTTCAGCGTGCTTTTCACCATGGCATCACTGTGCATGACTGAGAATCGTGTCGTGATGCTACTGGGAAAGAATAGTAAGCAGCGGGCACTTCTTTAATTTTAAGAATAAGTGTTTCTTTGTTTTGCAAGCTCAGATCAGCTTTATTTTTTCGATTTCACTACAACGAAATTCTCGCTTCAACGAAATATTTTCCGCACCCCGTGAGTTTCGTTGTAGCGGGATTCAACTGTAAGCAGAAGCAATGACACATGAGCGTGAGAGTTATTGGAGGTGTTTCACACCAAGAAAGGCACAGGCTACAATAATGATACGTCTGTTTGACTTTACAAAAATCAGTTGCAGCTTCTAGACCAGTGTTTACTGATTTTGGTGCAAAGATGCACATAGAGTTGTAATCTGGTGGTTTGTTCTTTCAAATAAACAGTTGAAGTAGTTTAGTACCCGACCTTTCTGCTCCCTTCTACTTCTTTTCTCTGATCTGTGTTTTCCAAAATTGCGCTGTAACATACTGCATCGACGTTAACCAACTCGCCCAACAACAAGTCTTACTTGCCCTTAGGAGATGCTACTCGAAAAAAAAAAATGAAGTTTCTTCAATTTGTATCCTGAAATATTTGCTGTTTACAAAAGGTTTTGTGTGGATTTCAAGTATGTAACCAGTTTCAAAGTAAATCACGTAGTTATCGGTGTAAAATATAGCTTTTTCTAGACACATCTTTGGGCGCTTTTGCAATTATAAGCCATTAATAGCTCATTTCTGTAGTCAAAAGTTGTACGGAATCCCGTGTCGTCAGGGACATACATGGGGCAAAATGACAAAAACGCCCACCAAAGTAAACACGAAAATTGTAGAGACATTTTGGCTTCCTACATCGAACCTAATTCGCAATCTTATTGTGGTTGTGAACAAGGCTCCCGTGTAGGCAGTCAAACCGTCTGTTTAATTTTTGTGTATTTTATTTTGGTCAGCGTTTTTGTTATTTTGCACTATTAATAGCTCATATTGAATCAGAATAAGAAATTTTATTATTTTTATAAAATTAAGTTATTGCAATCGATTATACAGGAGGAGGTCCAGAGTCAGAGACTGAATCAAGACCTCCTGTACAGGGCAAACTTGGAAAAAATTTTGACGTTTGCATTGACAGGAAGGAGGGAAAATTTCTATGTTCATTTTGGAAGCAGTGGTTACGAACAATTCAAATGCATAAGAAAGAAGAAAACATGTGATACACTTGAAAGAGAAGACAATGCTCTATATTAACCATAAGATGCAAATAGCTATCAAGAAAGTGTTTGTAAGACATTTAAATGAACAAGAAAAATAGTAATGTGAGAAGTTTTAGAATGCTCAGCCCATGTATATCGTATATACTCGCATAATGATCGCACTTTTTTTTTTCAAAAAAATTGACTCCATATTCGCAATGCAATCATTACGCGGGGTAAATTTTCCGTGAAAAAATATTCTAAGCACCGGAAACACAAAAAAGTCGCTAATCAGAATTCTTACGGTAGCTGTCATGAACATAACCAAAATTAAGTAAATGAAGGCTTACCTTTGTAATAAAAATGCAAGCACTACGCAGGGGCTACACGCATGGCACACTGCCCTTTTATTTTTTACCTCTCTGACCTCCTTCATTCAGACTTCGAAGCATCACTGGCATCAGTGTCGTCGCCGCACGATTTCTTGTCGGAACCGGCAGTCTCTTCACTGTCCCACAGAGGGTCATCTTCCGTTCCGTCAAGTGCGTTGAAAATGCCAGTGACAGTCCATTCCGCCGCATGAAGTGTGTCGTCCAGCCGGAACTGGCACGGAAGTCCTTTGTGGCTATTCCTAGCCTCCAGAAAACTGTGCACGCCTGCGTCCGTATCATGTCTAATGACACTGCATAACCGTCCTTGCGCATGTCCTTCACGTATTCGAGGACTGCCTTTTCAATGTCAGGAAACTTGCCAGATTCGAGGTCCGCGGAAAGCCCATCGCGTGCTGTTAGTAGCCATGAGCATGTCGCGCTGTTTTTTCCAATGTCAGATCCGGATCTCATCGATGCCGAAATGTCTGCCGGCAGCGCGGTTGCCGTGCTCTAGCGCAAAGTCAAGCGCCTTCAGCTTGAATGCGGCAATAAAGCTCGCATACTGCGCCATGGTGAAACGGCGCTTCAACAGACGATCACAAAGCACACCAAAAAAAAAATGTGGTCCCAGGAAAAAAAAGACATTGCTGCGGGATGAACACAGGTCGATCAACAGGCGGCCGCCGCTGTAACAGTGCGGGATGTCAAAACAAACATGGCGGCTGACGGAGCGAAGCACTCCGTGGAGCGAAGCCACCGCATTTTTTTTTCTTCTTTGCGTCAGTTACGGAGGTTGTGAGTACGTCACGCGTGTCAAAACAGTTTCTTCCATCTAAATAAGGAATGCTTTCATTTTAATTAGTAAATTTACGGCATTAGCATAGTGATGCCCACTTTCAGATCACAGAAACAATGATAGGCGCGTTCAGCTAGACTTGGCACATGACATGTCGATGCGGCAAGTTCAGGGTGCGATCATTATGTTGGGAAAAAAAAAGTCGAGTTTAGACTACAAAATTTAGGGGTGCAATCATTATGCGAGTGCGATCATTACGCAAGTAAATACGGTATAGCCCATGTATATAGCATGTAAATAAGTAATAGCATGTTTTAAAGGAGATAATTGCACTCTTCTTATGTTAAAAATGTGTTGGTAAAATATAATTTTTGGTCATTGAGGTCAACTGACTAGCTTGCAAAATAAGGCATACGCATGAGAGAGAGAGGAGACAGAAAATTAGGTGGGCAGATGATATTAAAAAGTTTGCAGGTACAACATGGCAGCAGAAACCACAGGACCAGGTTAATTTGTTGAACATTAGAGAGGCTTTTGCCCTGCAGTAGGCATAGTCAGGATGATGATGATGGGTAAAACATGATGCTGATTTGGTAATCGGAAGTATAAAAAACATGATGTGCGAGCTGTGGGGTCTCGAATAAGAGGTTGCGCTCTGGGAGTGGATGGGCACAGTAGACGCGGTCGGGCCAAAGCAAATAAAACATTTATTTGATTATTTTTACATCAACGATATCGTCAGCCAAATGAAGCTCATCATTAGTGATCAACACGCTAAAACACACTTTACACAATATTCCAATACACTCAATCAACATAACAAACACAAGGTTACGTGAAGGTGGTGCCACCAATGTTCGACTCGCCGCGAGGTACCCACAAGATGCGACCTGCAGTCGCCGCACCCTGCAGGACCCTGTCAGGGGGTGACCACATATGCCAGCCGCCACACACCAAAGAGGCCCGCCAATCTTTCTGTCCGGCCACCTAGCCTCGCTGCCAGGTGTCACTGCTGGCACTGCCGCGCTAGCTGCAATGATGATGCTGGTGGTGCTGGTCAACACGCGTGAGCAAAACGCCACCTACCACTCAATGGCTCTCATTCCTAAATGCGGCTTATCCGCTGGACCCGTGTGCGCCACGAGGTGCAAACAACATTACAGGAGGTGATAACACCCCCACAGGTCTCAAGATGACGCGCTCTCAAAATGAATGGACACAGCTGACGCAGTTTAGCAAACTAAACATGTTTCCATTTATTGACTGCTTTTACAAACAACAATATTACCAGCCAAATCAAATTTGCCACTAGTGGCACGTTAAGCAACCTTATACAATATTCTACTGGATGCATACAAGTCTTTGAAATCCTTGAGAACCCTTAAATTTAAGGAATGCATCTTCAAGGCCCTTGAATGTCCTGGAATTTTTTGCCATCCTTGAAAATCCTTGAATCTCATGAGCAGTGCACTCTAATATCGACATCGTGACCTCCGAAATGTGGTAGATCAGTGTGTCAGTCTGTCAAACTCCCCATTCTTGAAGCAGTAATGGGGCGTGGGCGTACATGGTCCCATTTTGCTAGAATTAATGTAAAAAAATCACAGCATATCCACGGAGTGAATGATGATAAGTGGGGCGAAGCGTCCCTCTTTGTGTCCGTCTATGCATGAATCTATGCGTCCAATCGCGTTTAAGAATGCAGACAGTACGCAGGTAACTCCAATAAGATGCGAGCTAAGGAAGCTGAGCTCAAGCATCTTCAACGCGCCCACTGCTGTGCTCCATCCACGCCCCACCAACCATCTGCAACATACGGCGACTATCCAGGAGACTGAGAGAGGCATTTATTCACATACCGTGCAGATGGCGCACGGGTAATACCAACGAGACGCAAGCCAAGGAAGCCAAGTGCAAGCGTCTTAAACGTGCCTGCTGCTCTGCTCCGTGCGTACCCCACTAACGATCCACCACGTAAGGCGAATATCCAGGAAACTGAGAGAGGCACTCGTTCCCATACTATGCGGCGCGCGAGTAACACCGACAGGCAAAACAGGCACAGCATCCAATTGAAGAGTAGCAGCACTTCTGAGAGTAGTGGTACAGTAACGCCATCTAGGAAATGAGACAAGAAATGGTCATCCATTTCGCTTTTTCATCTCTTCTTCTCATGGTTACGCGTGACTAGTCACAAGGTTAGACTATAAGGACCTTCGTCCCTAAAAAAAAAGTTAGTTTCGTGGCAACAATGAAGCAGTGAATGCGAGAGCAAAAAATTATCATGTCGCATGAAGAAGTGCTAGCAAGTCCATACATGCTTATGGGGCACGCATGCACTAAGGATGCACGAAAAAAAAAAAAAAGCGCTCAGCATGAGTGCTGATAAACAACTGCCACAGCTAAACACTTGGCTTGTGCGAATAGTGAATTTTAGGTTTGAAGTGAATTCGAAGCGAATAGTGATTTCGGTCAGATAATTTCGAGTCAAATTTAAATTGTCTATATCACATATATAGTCTAATGGGCATATCTATCATGACCTAACTAACCTGCATAATATTTTTTTTAAAATTAGAATGAGGCCTCTGTGCAAAGGTCATTTTTTTTTTTTTTGTTCAATGGAAGTCGAAACAACTTTAAGTAGTAACAGGATTTCACTTTCGATAGAATGCAAGTAAAATATGTTGCATTTAAAAGTTACTATACTTTGAGCATATAAAATGGCATAACAAGCTTTTAAACTAACAAAATTGATGAATTGATATAAGGGTATTATGTTTATTTAAAGGGACCCTGCAACACTTCTTCTAATGGCCATGGACTGTATTTACTAAAAGCGCTTATTGCCTCACGAATTCACCGCCGCGAATATTTTTAAAATTTGTCTGGCTGAAGCAGAGTTACAAAGTATTGCTACACGCTGCGATTACATTCTTCTTTCTTTTATCCCGACAAAAGCGCCGAAAGCTAAGCAGAAAAGGATGGCACGGGGGAGGAAAATGCCTCACGCGTGCCTCGTGACCTTGAGCGTGTTTTCTGTTTGTTTGTTTTTTTTTTTCCTTCAAATACACGGCTTTTCAGTGTGATTGCATGGGCACACGTGGACAAGTCGCGGCCCCAGCAACGACCAAGATGCCATGCTCAAATCAGCCAATAGCTGATACACTGGCTGTGGTGAGCAATTTTCGAGCTTGTAGCACGATTTGACGAAAGAAGGGAAAGCAATTTTCAGCTGACTTCGAAAATTCGTTGCAAATTTCTGACCACCTGCTGCGCAATAATATTTGGCTCATGTGTTCTCGGGAGCATTGACTACTGAACGGCACAGTTCTGTGACGGTTTAGCACCCCTAAGATGCAGAGAAACCACCTTAACAGGAGGTTGCGTGCGTTTTAACATACAACTATTCGTTCATTGCAGATACTTCGAAATTTTTAATAATTGAAATTCAAGTCAAAGCGAATGCCGATACGGTACTATTCCTTCGATAATTCGAAGCATTTGAATATTCCCACAAGCTTACTAAACACTGAAAGCATGCTGCTTGAAGGGGTCGTCACCCAATTTTCAACCATAATCTGTGTTGTGCGGGTTAATTCTTGTATGTTCAGAGACAAGCTGGTACAATTTGAGCCAATTTTGTCGAGTCGTTAATTTTTAATAGAATATTTTCTTAAACGAGCGAGCGGCTTGAGAGTTCGGCAACACTGGCACACTCGCTAGCCGTGACGTCACGAACCACTTGCTGGGCCAGCTGCTGCACAATCTGCATTCTGGAGGAAGATCCTGTTCCATGGTCAGCTGCGCTTGCAATCGAACTTTTTCTGCGTTGTTCAACTTTCCACTGGAACTAAGTGAGTTCCAGGAGTGAGTTGAAACAATGCCACCGCGTCACCCATGTAGCACCGGTACTTGCAGCAAGTATTTATGGAGGTCGAAAGGTGTCTTTTAAATGTGCGATGCGTGTGCCATTTGCCACTACGGATAAGTATTTATTGAAACTCCTCACAGGCAGTGCGATGGTTTAGTGTTACACTTGCTTTTTTTTTTACCGGAACCGAATGCAATTGAAAGTTCAAGCAAATATTCGGTCAAAATGTATATCGTTAGTAACCTTAGCGCTGCACACATGACAATCTGACCGAGAAGCGGTCCCAACACGCAGTGTTGTTACGACTACATATTTATTATGTTCAGCACCGAAAGTCGTGCATGCGCGTATACTACTCAACAAAAATCTACACGCTTTGCCGATTCCTCGGCGCTAAGTAACAGTTAACCCAGCGCAGCAGCTCGGGTTGGAGGATCATGACGCCACCCAGCGGCGGGTTTTGATTTGGGAAAGCTGACGGCAGCAACGGCGTTTCTGGTTGGACATCGGTGACGTAAAGCGTCACCCTGGGCCTATAAAAAAGCAAGCGGCGCGACGCCAAGCAGTCGACATATGCGTCAGAGAGAAGACATTGCGGCTCTTCGAGACACTAAGCTGTGGGACCCAGTGCCGAATATGCAGCGCCTCTATTTCTATGCGATGCATAAACATTGCCTTAACTCTCGATCGTCTTGTCCTCTCGTCTATCAGCTCTGCGCAGAAGCAGCTGTGACCTGAGAAACACGCTACGGAAAAACCTTGGCGGCCCGTGAGCTCGGGGCATACGCAACCATGTTGGCGGCAGTGCGAGCCGGAGCAGTGGATGGCAGCTGTGGGATCGGCCGGCGCCAGCGACATTGATGCGGTGAGTGCCTGATGTTTTCCCCTCAGTTCACCAGACTGCTCTAGCACAAGTTATGGTAGTTTAGAGAAGTGCTGTATGAAGCATTGGAGTGAGCTTTGATCATTTCAAGGCAATTCGGAGCGCTTTGAAACCAAAGTTAACGCGGAGGTTGTAAACACGGTAATGTTAAAAGTTACTTGCGCGTCTTCCTAGTCGACTTATAGTAGGTATGGCAAGTAGATTCTTAACAAGGGCAAACAGCAAGAGGCTAGTGTAAACGATGGCGCAACTTAAAGTGAAGGAACTCATTAGAATTTGTGAGGAGCTTGGCCTTACTTTGGGCCGTGCGAAACGAAAGCAAGCAATTCTTGAGATCATGAAGTATGCAGGAGTGACGGCTGAAGAAGTTGATGAGGCCTGGGCGGATATCAAAGCATGTCGTGAGGAAGCTGAAAGGCGAGAAGTTCGCGAACACGAGGAAGCTGGAAAGTTAGAATGCCGTGAGGAGGCCGAGAGACAGGAGCGCCTCGGGTTAAAACGAATAGAATTGGCAATCCTACAGTGTTCTCAGGCGCCTAGCGTAACTTCTGCGACAGTACAGGTTAGCGGTCAGAGAATTCGGGACCAACTGCCGTTGTTCGTAGTAGGCGAGGACATGGCGAAGTATCTCATCAAGTTCGAACACGTCTGTGAGCGAAATGCCTTGGAGCGGTCTGTTTCGGCCCAGAACTTGTTAGCTCTACCTCCCGGCAAATCGTCCGACATGATAACGTGCTTGCCAATGGAAGCATTTGAGAGCTATGACGAGGTTAAGGAAGCACTTTTGAGACGTTATAAGTTGTCACCTGAGGCTTTCCAGCAAAGGTTCCGGTACGCAAAAAAAGGGAAATGAGTCACGTTGACTTCGCATTTCGTCTTAAGGCCGATTTAACTGGCTCAAGGGCGAAGATGTTTAAGATGATCGCGATAAAGTGGTAGAATGCATTGCATTAGAGCAATTCTACCGCTGCATCGAGGATGACGTCAAGCTTTGGTTGCAAGACAAGCTTGGCGAAGTACAGCTAAACAAGGCAGCAGAGTTAGCTGAGAAGTATTATACTCGCCGAAAGTTGCATAGCAGGGCAGTGCGCGTTGAAAAAAGGTGAAGGAAAAGAAGGCTTTTCAGAGAAACTTGATTAACGGAAACCCACTCCGCACCGTAATTTTAGGAGAGACCCATCTCTTACGAAGTACACTGTAGGGGAAGGGCAAACGAAAGTGGAGAAATCGAGTGAGGTTCCTAAACTGATACCACACGAACGCCGCTAATCTGCTACAACTGCAAAAAGGAAGGGCATATTGTGGTAAACTGTAAACAAAAGTTTGCTTTCGCAACAGTCCGAGCGGAAAGATCAGTTGTTAGAGCCATATCTTCAAAAAATTCGAGACTCAGCGGCAACCATAGATGTTGTCCATTCTTCGTATGTGTCTCCGGACGACTTTACAAGAGAATGCGCGTGGATCAGGCAAGTGGCTGAGGAGCAAAGTGCTTGCTTACCAATCGTTACATTTGTCATTAAAGGCCTGTTCGGTAAGCTTCGCACCAAAGCGGCTGTGTTTGCCACGCTTCCCAATCGTTTTCCTTACTTTTTTTTCGAATAACTCTGAGCAGTTTCTCAAAAAGCAACTCCAACTAAGCGTACATGGTTCTCACGCGATTCCAAGCACGGAAGCTTTCGCAGCGACTTGATCGTGTTCAATTTAGTGAAATACCGCCTGCAAAAGCGGCCGAGATGCGAGGCCTTGGCGGCGAGTCGTCGAGTGAATCTCAGACAGAAAATTCTCCGGGTGAGTGACTCGTGCAGTCACTCGAGCGGCCCGTTGCCAAAGCAACTGGCGCTGTCTCTGTTGGCGGAGGAGACGACATGGTGCCATTGAGTGAGAGCAAGAAGGGTGCAACGCTCTCACCTGTAGAGGAAAGTTGGAGTGAGCTGTCGAGGGTTGATCGAGAAATGCTCATTCGAGAGCAGCGTGAGGACCTCTCAATTAAATCGCTAATGGAAAGTGTAAAATTAGGAACAAAGAAAAAGAATGTTTCTTTTTTTTTTTTTTAGAAGGCAGGGCTCCTGTTTCGGAGCTACACAAATGTACAAGGTCGCAAGTATGAACAGCTCTTGGTGTCACAAAAGTATTGTCGCCAACTATTGGAACTGGCGCATGAAAACGCGTTGGCAGGGCATCTCGGCATAAAGAAGGCTAAGGCTGTGGAGTTAGTTACCG